ATTCATAGAAAAATACTGGTATTGCTGGTGTACCTTACAATGTGAGATGGTTTTATTTACTAAACAGCATATATATACATATTTCATTTTCATTAAACTAACTTGCTACTGCTTACTTTAAAAAAAATATTTTTTCTTTATTGATTTTAGAGAGAGAGGAAGGGAAAGGGAGGGAGAGATAGAAAGATCAATGAGAGAGAACATCAACTGGCCGCCTCCTGCATGCCCCCCACTGGGGATTTGGCCCACAACCTGGGCATATGCCCTGACCAGGAATCGAACTGGCAACTTCTTGGTGCATAGGTCGATGCTCAACCACTGAGCCACACCAGCCAGTCAACTACTGCTTACTTTTATTTTTATCTATTTTGGTAAATTAACCATGTTTTCAACATACTTTCATTCACTGACCATAAAAACAACAAAAGTAGCACTGAAAACCATTTGAAATGCTGTGTGCAACCTGGGGCAAAAAAAACGAAGGTAGAAAATTGGTATTTTTAATTAGTCATAACCTAAAGCAAGACTATTTACAAGTCAACATTATGAACAAAGATTTATTAATATACATACATACATTTTCATCTTATACACAAGATTTATTAATATACATACATATATTTCAGTCTTATACACTAAAATAATGACCAAAGCTAAGAATCCTTTATATTTCACTCCTCGGTAGAGAAAGAAGTCTCTCCACCAGTGAATACTAAGACTATCCCAAGGCTGTCATTTCCAATCTTTTTAAAGAGTCACCTCTTTCAAAACCTAAAAAAAAACAAACTGATTCCCACATCTGTATGAAACATATTTATTTCCTCTCTCAGGAAGACTTGTTACTAATATGGAGCCAGCTCCCTGCCTCCACCCAAAGGTCCTCGTAAAGCAATATACCTATTCCTGTTTTTTCCAAGTACTCCAAAAAGGAAGGGGGGGGGGGGTGTGGAGGGAAAAACTTGCATGAGGTTGAGAGAGTATATGAGAATTTAGCACAATATATAAATTTAGACCACACTCCATAATTTATTAGGCTCCCAGGAAATTATCAGGTCATCATTGGCTTCTAGAAAGAGATGTTAATATCGTGTTTGTGCTTATTGTCAAGATTTTTAAGGAGCTAAGTGGGAGAGATGCAGAGAGGCAGAAGGACTGTCACGGGGAAGCAGGCATCAGGAAAGGAGGACAGCAGTTAGAGAGCATGTCCCCAGCTGGAAATGGAGATGCCGTCAAGGGTTTTATTCTGAGAATGAGTACAAATAATTATGTTACAAATCCAGTCTAGCTCCAGCTGGGGGCCAGAAAGAGGTAAAGAAGGAGAGTAAGCATCGAATTGTTTCATCTGAGCTGAGAGATGAGATGATATAAAGTCAAAGTTTTAGAAGCCCCCAAACCCAACGATGTGCATGGGATCAGCTCTAACAGAGAGATGCCTTCAAACTGCTAAGTGGTCAAGTTAACACCTAGGACAGACCTTGAAAACAGAACTCAAGATACATCCACTTGCAATAGATAGGAGCACTATTTACATGAAATCTTGGGATGTTAGAAAGACTTCTAGTTTTTATATCACATTATAAATAATGATTCAACAAATCGCTGGAGAGCTTTCAAGGAGCTAGACGCTATGAATACACACCTCAGTCATTCAGTCACTTGATAACTATTTAGTTAGTGTCTATTATATACCAAGTACTATGTTAGGACAATTTTAACAGAATATCTAGAAACTATGGAATGCAACATTAGTATGAGCAACAAAATAGAGTTTACAGGACTTCACACTATCTTCTGATCACAGTAATAATATTAGCCAGAGTTCTGAAAAAAAGTAGCAGTGTTGCTTGACTTCAATCCACCATGAATAAGAAAGTCCTCTGAGTGACACAAGAACTGCTCATTTCAGACTGAGGGTCAAACTAAGAACTCTGTATCCCCAAGCCTTGTGACTCTTGAGGTCAAAGTGTTATGTCTTTGTGTAGGTCTAAAAGCAGTAAAACTAAAAAAAAAAAAAAATCTTAGGGTGAGACATTTAGACAGTAGCAGTTATTTAATCATTTTAAAGTAAAATTTAATTTATATCAACATAGCAGTCAAAGATGAGAAGTATTGATAAAGGAACAACTAGTGATTTTTTTAAATAAATTAGCTGAGATCTTTAAGAAGCAGAATATGGTACCAGTAAGAAGAGGAGAAAAAAATAGTGTTGATAGATAGCTGCTTTGGAAAAAGACTCTCAGAGACTTGAAAAATCAATGCCTGCAATTTAAATCTGCTCAGAACAGACTAAGTCCACTGCTCAGACCTAAAGCACCCCTCTTACATTGCAACTTGTGCTGTTCTATTATCCTAAAAACTCCAGATTATTCAAAAATCTTGTTGAGGACACTACAGTATACTTGGAAATAGAAGCTGAAACCCTAAGTTGTTAAATGCTTGGGAAAGGTTGGTACACACAAGTTTCCCCTTTCTGTAGTTGGTGGCTTATTCTTCAGGCAGCTGAGAAACCTTGACTGTTTTGAGAAGGAAAGTGACATGATCAAACTAGCTTTATAAATACAACAGCAGTGAACAAACGGAAGGAAAAAAAGAGGTGGGGAAACTGGGGCATCAAAAGTATTTAAAATCTAGTTGTAATAAGTTAGGTTATAGCAAAGGTCTGAGGTGGCAGATAAACTGAGGCAAAGGAGGAAGATGTTGATCTTGGTACAAGAACAAGGGAGGCCCCAGGGAAGAGAGAGTATCCTTTAATGCAATTTTAACAGCTTGAAAAAATCTGCTTTGGAGTGATGAGGAAGGATAGAAAATAGATTTCGGGTAGAGTTTATAGAAGAGTACCAAGCAGACATCCAGGTGGAAACATTCACAGGTCACTATGCCGGGATCCTAAGAATGAACTAGAGATTTCTCTGGAGAGCCATCGACATTGGTGGTTCTCAGGTGGGATCAGTTTGCCCCCCAGATGACAGCAATGTCTGGAGACATATTTGGTTGTCACAACTGGGAAGATGGGGCAACTGGATTCTGGTAGGTAGTGTGTCCAGGATGCTGTAAAAACACCCTGGAAAGTTAGTTACCTGCTGGATGCCAGTAGCAGAACAACCCCCTACAACAGAGAATTAAAAGAATTATCAAGCCCCAAATATCAGTAGTGTCAAGATTGAAAAACCTGCTCATAAATGTCATGGCACATTAGGGATATCTTGTTTAATCAGTACACATTGCATATTCATGTCTAATTTATAGAAAACAAAAATAGTATCAAGTGTTTACTGTCTTACTCTGTTTCTGGCACTGTCCTCATATTACATTGTTCGTTTTATTTAATGTTTTAAATACTACAAGATAGGTACCATCTTTATCCTCCTTTAACAGGTTAGGAAGCTGACCCACTGAAAAGTTAAGATACCTGCCAAATGCCACATAGTTGGCAAATTGGGGGGGCGGCACAGATGGCAATCAACAAGTCCATTTCCAGAACCATGATTCTAATGACTAAGTTGGAGAATACAGTGATTACAGATGTGGTAAAAATCAAGCCCCATAGCAGAAAAGAGAGAAATAGAGCACTCCCTTCATTATTCTCACACACAAAAAAAGTATCTCTGTCAAATATTATTAGCAACCTTTTTCTGTGTCACTGATACATTTTAAAGTTCCTCCTCCCAGGGCAAACTTTTAAGTGGGGAAGGGGTACTTGTGCTCCATCTAAAGCACCATTTTTTACAGTCTTAGTATTTTGACATATGGGTGTCTCCTGATGTATCTTATATAGTTCGTGAATAACAAAGAGCCAAACTTTCCCAATAACATAACTTTACCATGTAAATTAGAACTGAATGAAAGTTAGCCCTGTAATAACATATATCATATTTTCTTACTTTCCAATACGCTTTTCCAAGTGACAAAGAAAGATACAGAATTACAGCTAATGAGTTTGGGGGTGGCACTGGCTGTTCACATGTGAGTGTCTGTGATTCAGAGCATTAAAATGTATTGTTGAAAATCACCAATTTCATACAATGTAGTCAAAATAATCACTTTATTCCTCAAGATTGATGTTTAAATCCTCCTCTTTAAATTATACAAACACTTCTCATCTTACTGAACCAGACATTCAAAGTTTTAGGACCACTGATTCTTTGTTTGGTCAAGATGCAACGATAGGACCCTTTTTTTGAAATACAGTAGTTTCCAAATTTTTGAAACAGTAGCCTCACTCTTAAAATGATATAATAAGAAATAAAAATGTCCATATAAGGAAAGATAGAAGAGAAGAGGGAAGACATTCTGCAGCTAGAATGGGGGAGGTGGTAAGTTGGGAGGCAGTGGTTAGGAATAATGGGAAGAGAGGATCCCCAGTGATCCACCCACTTGGCATCATTGCTCAGGCGACAATGTAGACAAATTTGGGGGCTCCATACAACACAACTTAAAAAGGATTATCCAATATAAAAATTTAGACAATAAAATTATAACCATCTTGTAAGTATATGAAAGTTGTAGGTCTAATAGATATTTTAATTAAATTCTGCTTTAAAATATAATATTATATAATATACATATACATGTCATTAAATGGTGTATCTTATTTTATGTATTAAACTTGATTTTTTTAATTTTATTTTCAAGTGGTGTACAGTATCCTGAGGCACTTAATTATTGTTTCTGTTTGAGGTTCACATTCATCTCTCAACAGTTTCTGTCAACAACGCAAATTTAGTTTTACTGTAAAAAATGAATTATATTTAATGGGCTTTTAAATATAGTTCTCTGACACAACATTTAATTTAAGATGAACAATTTTACTCTTTTAAGCTGCACTTTGGAATTATTTCTGAACAATGATATATTTCCTTTTTAATGTTTTCTTATTTTCTGATAAACAGAGTGATGGTAATAAATCTTGATCCTGCCTTTGGTCTAGATATTTAGTAGCTATGTATCTGTTTTCTCTGATAGCAACATGCATTAATATTTATGGCCATTTTCCTTTGCAGCATCTCCCAGATGGCTCCGCGCCCAGTGCACATGTTGAATTTTATCTTTTACCATATCCCAGTGAAGTCCGTAGGAGGAAAACAAAATCTGTTCCAAAATGTACTGACCCTACGTACAATGAAATTGTAAGTATGATTCATCTCTTGTTCTGTCGTTTTGTATTTTTCTTACCGTTTTTCAGCCTGACAACCAAATATGGAAAATTTGCAATAATTGGCAGCATTATTATATAAACAGTAGACATTTCCCCAAAATAGCCACTATGAGCTGATCACTGTTCTAGAGCCGATGGGAACTGTAAAATACAGATACTGTTTTCAAAGGGCTTGTGAACCAATTTTCAAACTGTGACTCATCTCCAGGAAGAGCCTACGACTACATAGGGCTTATTTCTCATGTTCATATGATCCCAAACTTGACCGTCGTTCCTAACCTTACTTTCCTTTGCCTGGTTTTTCTTACCTAATAATCTTATCGTAGTTTAACCTACATTTCATAAAATCACATTTGGAAAAAAACTTTTTTAAAAAGTACAAAATACAAATTAAATCTCAGTTCATGTATACTAGGTATAGCTATTTCATCTGTATTATGCAGTTTGAACATCCAAACCCCTACTTCTTTCTAAGGCAAATCCTACATTTATTCTCTTGAGTCCATTCTTTCCCATCTCTCTGTACCTTGTTCAGTTGATTATTTGTTCCTTTTAAGGCTGTCTCATCCATTCAAACCTTGACTCAGAAATCTTAATTAAACAAAACAAACGCCTCAACTCAACATTTCTAAAGTATCCAATTTTTCTTTTCCTCTATGTTGCCTCCAAACTTTTACAGAATTGACTCACATTTCCTGCACTTCCTTTTCACCCTTCAACCCTTTGCAATGTGGATTCTGACTTTAACTGATGCAACATAATGCACTGAGCCCTCCGGTTCTCCTCTCCTGAAGTTATGCAGCACCGCTATTAACTGTGCCTCTCTCCTGCCACCTCCCTTTTGTTCAACCTTTTCTTAACTCCTTCTGTCTTTTCCAACCACTCCCTCATTTTCCTTCATTTACATTCTTCCTCTTAGAATAGAGTTGTTTGTTGGCATTCCGTCATCTGTCTACCCATATCTCTTCTTGAAATGTGTTCTCTCAGACTGTCTGTGTTCTGTAGATTTCCACTTACCACCTCTCTCTGGGTTGCATCCAAATCTATTCCTGGAGCCCGGGCTGCTCTCCTCACCGTTACACCTGCACTACTGCCTGATCACTGGAGAGCTCTGTGGGGCTGCCTCCTAGCCACTTTTAAACCTGCTTGCCTCCTGTTGGCCGCCTCTAAGGACAGCTTCCAATGACATCTCCCTGCCTCTCACGCATATGCCCAAAGAGTCACCAAGTTTTGTCAGCTCTGTTGTGCAGCTTCCTGGCTCTGAAACCTATCACCTTCTCTCTGTCCCAATGCCTTGCTTTGTTTGAGGTCCTTGTGACATTGGCTACTATAATAGCCTTCTGTCTGACTCCAGTCTTGTGTTTTTTTTATTAAATCTTTCATATATCTACTTCAAATGTCTTTCAAAGATTAATCATATTTATTAATCTTCTGTTTAACTTTTTTCAAAGGTCCCTCACCGCCTACTGTATAATATTAAAAATTCTAAGTATGATATTCATAGCCTTTAAAACTGGACTCAGTAATTTTCCTAAGTTGCCTCTTGGAGCAATATTATGGTCATAAGATTTTTTTTTTAATGTTGTTTTGAGATAGTTATAGATTCACATACAGTTGTAAGAAATAATATAGAAATAATTCAAATATCCTTTAACTACTTTCCCCAAATGGTAACATCTTTCATAACTATATAGTCTAGTATCATAAACAGAAAATTGACATTAATTCAGATTTCACCAGTTGTAAATGTGCTCGTGTGTGTGTGTGTGTGTGTGTTTGTTTAGTTCTATGCATTTTTAGAACTAAACATGTATAGGTTTGTGTGACCACCAGCACAAAGTACAGAACAGTTCCATCACAAAAATTTCTGGTGTTACCCAATTATACTGTGCCCTATTATAGCCAGGGACACTACCCACCTTCCAGCACAACCTCTCAAACCACTGACAACTACTAATCTGTTCCCCATTGCTATAATTTTGTTATTTATAGTATTTATAAGTGGAATCATTCAGTTTAGAATGTTTTGAGATTGGCTTTTTCTTTTAACTCACTAATTCCCTAGAGGGACATCCAAGTTGCTGCATATATCAATAGTTGATTCCTTTTCACTTCTGAGTGGTAGTCACGGTACAGAGGTATGAGAGTTTTTTAACTGTTCACACATTAAAGGACATCTGGGTTATTTCTGACTTGGGATTATAGCAAACAAAGCTGCTGTGAATATTAATGCATAGGTTTTTGCGTGAGCAGAGATTGTAACTGCCCTAGGATAAAGGCTCAGAGTGTAATTAGTGGGTATATAGTAATGGCATAGTTAGTTTTATAAGAAACTACCATACACTTTCTCTATACCGATTTACACTCCCACCAGCAATGTATAAATGATCCAGTAGAAACTTCATCTTTGCCAGCATCTGATGCTAGCACCATTTTTTTATTTCAGTTTAATAGGTACGAAATGGCATCTAATTGTGGTCTTAATTTTCATTTACATAATGTCAAATGATGTTGAACTTCTTTTCCTGTGCTTATTTACCATCTGCACATCTTCTTTGGTGACAAGTCTTTGCTCATTTTTAATTGGATAGTTAGCAGTTTATTGTTAAGTTTTGAGAGTTCTTTACACATTCGGGATACTAGTTCTTCATCAGATATTTGGTTTGCAAATATTTCCCTCCATTCTATAGCTGGTCTTTTCATCTTTTTCGCAGGGTCTTTCACAGAGTAAAAGTTTTTATTTTGATGAGATCCAATTTATCAATTTTTCTTTTTATAGATTGTGCTTTTGTTATCAAGTCTAAGAACTCACCTAACATCTAAGGCTTACACACTTTCTCCTAATGTTTTATAGTTTTGGATTTCATATTAAGTATATCACCCATCTTGAGTTAATTTTTAAATAAACTGTGAATTAGGTTGGGGTTTATGTTTTTCTGTCTATGAATGCCAATTCCTCTAGCACCCAGGAGAGCAATTCTTCTTTATTCAATGTCTTTTGCACCTTTGTCAATAACTGTGTGCTCGAGCCCTTTTAACGTCCCATACTTAGCCACATTCTCGTCCCATCAGACAGCTTGTCATTGCCTGAATGGTCCCGAAGACTTCGATGATGAAGCTTCTGCAGCGTTCAACCCGCTGCCCTTCAGTGCTGACTGGGCTTCTTTCAAAGGTGGACTCTAGAAGCAACTCTTCTCCTGGACGCTTGTGTCACACTTACCATCTTTTTTTTTTAAATATGTTTCTATTGATTTTTGAGAGAGAGAGGAAAGGAGAGATAGAAACATCTATGTGAGAAAGAAACATCGAGTGGCTGCCTCCTGCACGCCCCCTACTGGGGATCAGGCCTACAACATGGGCATGTGTCCTGACTGGGAATCAAACCAAGACCTCTCAGTCCATGGGACCAATGCTCAATCCACTGAGCCACACTGGCCGGATGACACTCATTATCTTTACTTAGTACTTAGTACACATTGTTTTTCTTAAAGTATATTATAAAACATCTCAAGGACAAGGAAAATATCTTATATTCCTTAGTATTTTTAAAACTTAGTTACTTCTAAAAAGATTTGTGAAATTCAATATTTGGAGTAGTTTTATAAGTGACACTGTGTGTGTGTGTGTGTGTGTACAAAACATAAAACTACAATCTGAGAAAGAGAGGTTGAGATTTCTCTAATTTAGTAAGAAAAAATATTTTGACATTTTTACTATTTGTCATGAAATCAACAGCTTGAGATAGACACCTCCCAACAATGTCACTAGTTTCTAGACTTTCTGAGTACAAGACTTCCTTTAATATCAGCAGACTTCTCACGCTCAATGATGTGCCTCAGCATTTGTGATCTAAGGAAGCACATCACAACAAATGGCCACTGACAGTTCAGGAGAGTTTAAATTAATTGTATTTCAATTATTCAAGCTTTATGTATTATTAAAAACAGCAGCAAATATGCCTACCTGGAGAGCATATGCTTGTTCTGTCCATACATTTTCTGATGGCTCGTAATACTTCTGGGCCCCATACATTTATGACCTGCTGATTAGAAATCACTGCAATAATTTCTCCATCACTCTATACTACTCTATAGCAGAAATACACACCATTTGTACTTGGAACACATATAAAAGTGTTTCAAAGCCTGCAGTCCCTGCATAGCAAACTCCAATTTACCCACAGTCCGAATTTTCAGAAATGTGAATTACGTGATGTGTGGATAAGTATTTTAATAGTAATGATCACCATAGAAACAAGTTTGGAAGGGAAACTGATTGAATTTAGAAAGCTATGAGGGGATTTAAAAGGCTATATTTTAATTTTTCTCCCAATATTTTGTGTTCCTATTAATATAACAAGAATATTTATTTTAAGAAATGCAAAATAGTACCATCCACCAGTTTTAACTGGTTTTTACTTTCTCCTGACCTCAGCTGTGATGTAAGCCCTCATCTCTGTGCCAAACCTCTCAACTATTTCTGGGTGTCCTCAGTAACACTTTACGTGTGTTTTCTAGGGAGCCAGAAATCATCACATGGCATCTACCTTGTTTTTCACTTCTCCCTGCTTTGCTTCCTGAGTGCTTCTCCATCAGCCACTCACACGGCTGGGTTTCTCAAGCTGCCGCAGCCGTGCATTGTTCTGGGAAGTGGGAGAACATGACCTCACTCTCCTGTCCGTATAAATCTCTTCGTGGAATACAAAGGGGTTATTACATTGCATCACCGATGTCTTACAAAGTTCTTCATGAAAATAGATCTTTCCATTTTTCTTCTGAGCCCTCTCCCTCCCTAAGACCCACCGCAAGAGAGACTAGGTCAGGGACGTTGCCAAGTGTCTCTTTAGTGCCCACACTTCAGATACTAAAGGTTTCACACAGAGCCGTGCTTGTCTGCTGGACACTTCCCAGAGTGAGTCTTAACCGGCTTTGCCAGCAGTCTTCCTGAAACCCCGTCATCTACAAATCCCAGAGGGAGACGCGGCCGGGTTCAAGGTGGGCAGGGTGCTGGTAGGGATGCTCGGAACGGCACTGCAGCTTTCAAGAAGCAGAGCTGGGGTTCCGGCTCCAAAGCCTTTGCTCTTTCCACTCTGTGGCCTTTGGCATCTGGTTACAAACCACCATTTGTTAAATGACTCAGTAGAAATACAGATTCTATCTTGTAACAAAATTATCTTATTATAGTCTATGTATTTTTTACATTGTGTTCCTTTCTTAGATATTATGAAGCAAATAGGGGAAATTAGAAAGGACAGAACAGAAACATTCTGTTTCACGTTCCTTAAAATATCTTCCAGAATGTTTATGAAGACCTAGCATAATGCCAAGTATATGATATACTCAGTAAGCAATAGCTCTGGTTACCTATATGGTCTACTCATTTGCTATTCAATACGTGATGAAAATTCTCATTGTAAATACAGACAGTCAACCCCTAAGGTCAAACATTTTGACCAGGGCCACATAACAAGATTTCAAGTTCTAAACTTCCTGATTCCAAAGCCCATATTGACCCCACTAAACTGTGCTTTGTTATCCCTCCCTCTCTGCACCCACAGAGGTCTGTTCTCAGTGGTTCTGAATTCTCACTTTCATCATCCTGCCTCTTCACCCCTCTTCCCACCAGCACTGGACACACTTCAGAATCCATAATTGTTCTCTCATCGCAACCATTAAAATACCCTTTAGAACTATTTACTAGACCCGGTGTCAAATATGACACAGTGAACGCTTGTATATAAGTCAACAGACATTCACTTAAACAATGTGTTTCTACTTGATGTAACAATTTCAAACCCACAAATTCCATATTTGTCAAGAGGCAATGAAGACCTGGTTCATGCCTATGGGTATAAAAAGTACCATAAAGTGAAATCAAAGGAGTTGAGCTATTTTGGTCTGCTTATGTGAAGGAAGAATATATATTCAAATATTTGGTGAAAATATCTCGAAGACTATAATCATTTGTGTACTTCTCTAACATTACCCACTAATTAATCATTGCACAAAAAGAATGCTTAATTTTTTAACAACATTGTAGGTTCAGTTAAAAAATTAATAGACACGTCATCCATGCTGTACGATTGCATGCTTATAAAACTTCAGTCACTTTTTAAAAAAAAAATATGCATAATGAAGCATGGGGGGGGGGAATCCATAAAGTAATATAAACTTTGCCGTTCAAATGTTTGTATTTTAACCAAGAAGGCAATTAATTTTGAAAGTCACTTCTTGAGAATTTCAGCTTGTTAAATACCTGGGAGACTCAAGTCTTTATTGAAGTGTTTTCTTCAGTCAACTAATGCAAAATTCCAAGAAACAATCATTCTTTTTTTGTGTATTTGATGGATCTTTTTCAGCTATAATTTATTAGTGTTTAATATGTACTAGGCTTTGCGGTAAGGCTTGTATTTGTTATCTCATTTATTCTTCCCTACAATGTTAAAAGATAAATATTATTATCACCATTATGCAAATGAGAAAACATATAATTGACAACAGATTCATGTAAATATGAATAATGGATATGTTTCTTTTATAATTACATCTTTAGGGCCTATTTATATCATTCACAGAGTTCTTAAGCCAGACTTTTCCAAAGGCCTAAGACTTTGAGTTATTCCATTTTTTGACTTCGCATACAGTAACACTTTAAGGGCCCCTTCATCTGTTTCTCTATAAAAGAGAAGATGAGTTCGTCTGCTGAAAGTATTGTGGAAAGAAAATGTACATCCGTTTAGATAGTGCAGAATAGTCACTACAGAGACAGGGAACAGGAATTTGCTCTGAAGTCCTGGAAAGAATCCAGGAGGAGTGGTTCAGAGGGTTCACACTGGGCATCCGTTGCGGTCAAAAAGGATGAATTACAGAGGTAGGGTTTTGAGATTTATAAGGCTTCCCTTAAAATTCTTCATTATCCCAGGGAGCTCAATGGGTGAAATGGAATTATTTAAATAGCAGTCCAAGGAAAAGACACTCTCCTGTCTGGAATGTAAGATTCTAGAAGAGGAGGCAGCCAGGAGCTGTCAGTCACGTGAAGAGGGTAGAGTGAGTTAACATATCATTTTGAATCTCCCTTTCTTGATTAAACTATTATCTACTTGACAAGTAAAGCATTCATTGTTCAGAGCAGCTAGCAGATTTTGAACAAAATTTCATTGATAATTTACTGGGTTCATGAATGGTAGGCAGATTCCTGTATGATGGACCAGAAACTACATCTGCACACACAGAGGAGGCCTCCCAGCCAACTCAAAGGACTTCCCCTAAGTTGTTTCCTCTGCTTCTTTTTGCATATATAGAGAATGCTTTTTTCTATCTTGTAGCTTGTTTGTTAAAAAGCAAGTTTGAAGCAGCATATGAAACACTTTTCTAAATGCATTCTAAGGAGTTTCCCTGGGAACCATGTTGGATTTACACACGGCTCTCCCCTCGTTTCATGATGAATGACTAATTTCGTGAGAACACTGCACTTTTAGTTTCTTTACCAGTGCAGGCACTCAGTGGTAATGCCTGTGACTTACTTACTCCCTGGACATTATAAAATACAGTTAAACCTATCCTTTCTAAAAATGTTACATGACCAGTAAGTGGAAAAGAGCAAGACACAAAACTACACACAGCTTAATTACAACTCAGATTCATAAGAAGTGATTATTTATAGAAAAATAACAACATCAGAATGTCAACTGTAATTATTTCCCAATGGTAGAAATATAAATATTTCCTTCCTTTTTTTTGTTCTTTTTTGTTTCATCAATAATTTACTTAATGAGTATATGTTTTCAAAATTGAAAATAAAGCAATTTTAAATAAATTAAAGTCACCAGAGAGTGACTTCTTCACATGTGGAAAGACATATTGCTGTACTGTGTTAAAATAGCACAAGGAAATCATGGAAATTGGTCTGCTTTCCTCATTGCCTTCAACAAAGAAAGATAATGTTCAAGTTCCCATGTTTCACAGCAAATTCAAGGACAGTTAAAAGATGAAGTGTTTTTAAACTACTTCTTCAGAATAAGTTATAGTCTTATTAAATTTGGGATGGACAACTATTAATAAAATAAGGGTATATTCTAAGCTTCCTATAAAAATGTTCTTTCATTAACCATCATTATGATAGCAGAACCTTTAGCTTTTCAAGATTTCAGTTAGAAATGAAGGATTCTAACATTGACCTATCTATTTTCCAAGGTACAAGATATTAGCAACTAACTATTTTTATTAAAAGCAATATGTTTAAAAGATTCATGTAGCATATCTGATTTATATTTTCATTATTCCTCTCTCTTTTCAGGTGGTATATGATGAAGTCACAGAGCTCCAAGGACATGTCTTAATGTTAATTGTGAAGAGCAAAACCACATTTGTGGGAGCAATTAACATCCAACTTTGTAGTGTCCTACTCAATGAAGAAAAATGGTACCCACTAGGAAACAGTATAATTTGACCATTGCTGTGACCATATGCATTATTCATTAACTGATTATATTTTTTCCACTTCTGGGCCTCTCTGTCACATGAGCAGGACATTTTTGTTGTCAAAGATACTGTTGTGTACTAAGGACACAAGAAAAAGAAATCAGAATCAGTCTTTTATAGTTATTCTCTACCTACATTTCACTTTTCTTAGAATCCTTTCTCCTTAAATAGAAAGCTGATTGATTGCATAGAATTCAAATGAAATTAATAAAAGGACATTTAATTTAAATACATCTTTTAAATCAAATATATGTTCACACTTTAATTGTGCACTTACAGTTAAAAGCAATATTTTAATGTATTTTTAAGAAACACAGGCAAAGAAATAAATCTCATAAATTAATTCAAGACAATTATATCTGCAATAATTTTTTCTAATTTGAATTAAATATATATACCTACATAACTACTTATGATCATATATATTGAGGAGCTTGGTAGATGCCAGTAGAATGCTATATTGTTTTATATTAGAAAAACAAAACGGAAGTGCCTGGAATACTTAAATAAAATTTTTTTGTGGGGGAGAGGAGCTTGTCTGTTGGTGTTTACCCTCTTGAACACCAATCAACTCATCATCACTGGACTTCACCCATCCAGAGGCCTGATCACATTTTAAATTTCATTATCTCCTAACTCCAAGATCTCAAACTCTGAAACTCTGCCCTTGATCAAACCTATTCTTGTAGCACATCAATTATTTTCCTTACTTCTGAACCTGCCTTCATACTCATTATGATCTGAGTAAACAATCCTACAGATTCCACCTACAAATTCAAGGTATGATTCAAGGCATCATGTCACATTCTTTAAGAGAATCAAATAGCACCTTTTTAAAAAATCCCTGCTGTTGAAATTACTAAAAAATAGATTTCAAACTCTTGCTTTATTCAATGTTTTAGTGTGTTTGAATTTAGAAAGTAACTTTAGTTTTTATGTGGTCATCTACAAAACCATATAAACATGTAAAAGACTCTACCATTATTCACTGGAAATATTTGAGTGGCTGGTATAGGCTGACATGGTCCCATTTGAAACATATAACCATGCAAGTCAAGTAAGCCATTACTGCTGCTAGGCAATAATTCTGTTTCTAGTCCATTACTCTTCCTTCTGCTATCACTGATTAGACACCCTTCTCTACTAAAATCCCAGCACCTCCCCGCTGATTCTTACTCTTAGCTGATGACTTGTTTTCTGCTTCACTAGAAATTAGAATCAATCCAAAGGAAACCTCCACAGATTTCACTACCACCTAGCAGATTCTATGCTCCATCTTTTTACTTATTACCATAGAAAAACTACCCATGCCCGTACCCAAAACCAATCTCTCAATTTGTACGTTGGATCCCAGCTGCTCTCACCCCTCACAAACATTACTGGGATTCTTGTCTATTAAAGACCATCATGTTTTTATTCTCTACTGGATAATTTTCTTCAGTATACAACCAGGATGTGATATGGTTAGGTGGTGCTACACTCATTGAACTTCTCATCATTCCTCTTTCCCTTTCAAATATGACACATTGCCCTGTTCCTCTTTGCAGCGCAAGTCTTCAAAAACAATTGTCTGTCCTGTCTCCAGTTTCCCTTCTTGTTTTCTCTCAGACCCATTCCAAGAAGATATTTACCCTCAACACTCCAATGAAACTGCTTTTGCCAAAGTCCCTACTGACCTCCAGGTAGCTAAATCAAAGATCAATTTTTATCCCTAATCTGACCTTACTGACCTACAGTATTTGACACAACCATTAACTGTTGTGCACACTCTTCACTTTCTGTGCTTTCCTTCCGTGGTATTTCCCTCCTTCTCATCTTCTCTGCAGAAGCATCCTCTTTCCACAGCCTCCAGTGGTGGAGTGTGGGTTCACTCCTTGGTCCTCTGCTCCATCAACCTTTACTCCCTAATGATCTCAAGTATTCACATGGCTTTAAATATCATCTGTATGTTGATAATTTCCAGCTTTATAACTCCAGCCCAGAATTCCTCCCAAAATTTTAATGTTCTATACCAACTGCCTACTCAAGAACCCCCTTGAATAATAAAATTAAACTGCTGATCTTTCCCCCAAAACCAATCTTAAATAGCAAAAATATTGAAGCCATCCTTGATTCCCTCCACCCCCTTCAGTATACTTCAATCCAGCAGGAATTCTATTGGCTCTACCTTCAAATCATATCCCAAATTCAACCACTTATCACTCTCCATTGCTACCTCTCTGTATCACCTTTGTCTTGGATTGCCACAATTGCCTTCTTCTACACAGTCTCCTTGTTTCTGTGTTTACCCTGCCCCCCTCATAGTCTATTTTCAACACAGCAGCTGAAATGATCATGTCATTCTTGTACTCGAAACTCTGCAGGAGCTTCTAATCTCAAAGTAAAAGTCCAAACCTTTAAAATAACCTAAAAGGTCCTATATGATCTGACCTCCCATCAACTATCTCTCTGATTTAACTCCTGTTATATCCTCCTATGTTCATAGCACTAAGCAACACTGACCTTCTTTCTGTTCCCTGAGCACTCTAGCATGCTTCACCCTTGGAATCTTTATCAGACAGCTCCCGCTTTCAAGAAAAATGTGCTTTTACCCCAAATATCCACTTGCCTAACTCTCTCACCTCTTTTAAGTCTTGATTAAATATTTCCATCACTGTTGGGCCTACCCTGACCACTTTATATAATATTTTAACCTGCCCTGTCCACAGATACACTCTGTTCTCCCTTGTTTTTAATGCACTTACCAAGTTTTAACATTCTATACATTTACTTATTTATTTGGTTAATTAATTAAGATTTGTCTCTTTTCATTAGACCATAAATCCCACTATTAATGGGAAGTTTTGTTCACTGACAGTACAGCCTTAAATCCACCCAAGAACATTCTTGTCCTGATGCCCTCACCGAAAAGAATGCTGCCTCCTTCAGTTGTGACTCTTAGCCACACCCAGAACCCTCATCTTAGACCACGTTCTAAGTACCCAGGATGCCCCAAATCCCTGCCTGAATGGCCTTTGCAGGCCTTTCCTAAGCATTCATTCATCTGAACTCAGATGTACCACAGTGTGGGAAATGCCTAGGCCCTAATGGTGACCAAGTGAAGGCTGCTTGCGGAGTGTATGGATGCAGCTTGAATGTGCCAGCTAGAGTGTCCACAAATGTGCATAAAGCCATCCACAGTGCAGGGGGAGCCGAGGGGCAAGATGAAAAAGCAGAGCATACAGAGAATCGAGGACAGGTGCCAGCCCTTCTCAGGCTACCTAGTCAACAGGGGTCTCCAAGGACTCTAAATAAATCAAAACCTGTCCTGCCAGGTATTTATGAAGGTACATTTGTCACAATTAAGAGAATAGAACATATTGTATTTAACAACTTGTTAGCTTGATCTGTAACTTAAAATTCAGCAGATAGTATATGGATGTCATGGACTGAACTGTGTCCCCTCAAAATTTGTATGTTGAAGTTCTAACCCCAAGTAATCTCAGAACATGAACTTATTTGTAAATAAGGTCACTGCAGGTGAAGTAGTTAAGATAAAGTCAACTAGAGTAGAGTAAGCCCCTAATTCATTGTGACTAGTGTCCTTTTACAAAGGGAAAACTTGAACACAGACCTGCAGACAGGGAAAAAATAACTATGTGAGCATGAAGGTAGAGATTAGAGTGATGCATCCACAAGCCAAGGATCACCAAAGATTGGCACCAAACAGCCCAGAGTTGAGAGAGAGCCATGAAACAGATTGTCTCTCATGGCCCTCAGAAGGAACCACCCTTGGCAAACCTTTGCTCTTGAGCTTCTAGTGTCCAGAACTGTGAGACAAAACTTGTTGTTACGTAAATAACTCAGTTTGTGCTTAGTTTGGCAGCCGTAGCTAACTAAAACATTAGTTCTTCATTTGTTTTCTTGTTCCAGCCACACAAATATCTGACACATAGCTGATGCTCAATAAGTTTTTGTAAATTAATACCTAAACAAATGATTCACTAACACACCAGTGAACAAGAACAAGGTACCTATTCTTAACTCTCATTCATATAATGTTTAAAAGCTCCTTTAGCCTTTTTATACCTGTATTTTATTTACTCCCTACCAAGAAGTCTAATGAAGTGGGAAAGGGGGGATTAATATGTATTTAGAGAGTAATAACATTTAAATGTCTCATGGTAGCACAGTGAGAGAGAGAGAGGTATTTATAAGTGAATGCAAGGGATCTGAAACATTAGATAATTGACTACCTCCACATATCCCCACCCTCTAAGCTCATCTTCAAATTCCCTGAGAAACTTCCCCAGAAAAGTAATATATCTCAAAAAACACAACCTAGAAGAAACTGAGGATCACAGGTACCACATGGTTACCCTTATCACACAAGTCCCACCGCCAACAAATACGTTTCAAGGTCATTACTTGATTCCCAAAGGAAATGCACTGTTGAGGAGGCACCACTATTTACACATTATCTGGGCCACAAGTGAAGACCCGACAGTATATGGAAGAAATTTCGGTGTCTAAAGCTATTACCAAGCAACCCTCACAAATTAAGATATCTGTTATTTCCTAACACAGGATCCTGTATGCTTTCATACATTTTAATTAAACTGATTAAACCTAAACAAAGCTTCTTCTTCGAAACAATGTTAGGGGCAATAAAACATCAACACAGAAGTTTCAGTGACATACGCTGTAGACGTTAGACTTCCATAAGCATGGCCATGTGGATTTATTGACCTTGGTAATTTGTAATGGCCTATATTGAACCAAATAACTGGTTTTTATCATTAAAGGGATGTGCATTAAAACTTAGGCATCAGGGTGTACTAGTGACATAAGATTTAATTCTTGGGACAAAATAGACTCTAAGGAAAAGATAAACCTTGTTTTATTTTCTTAAATAAGCCTTTTAAGAATTGGGTGATAAAAGAACACTGGATGCTTTCTTTGATGAATTTCTCAGCCAGATCTCAAACT